TTCCCACCGGTCACAATGAGAACAGCTGTCCTCAGCAGAAGACAGACCTGAGTCCAAGCCATCGTCTCACCTGCGGCTGTCACCACAGGAACTGGGTCCAGAAGGTGGCCTCTCATGTTCTTCCCTCTCTCCCACAACTCTCCTTAAGGGCCCCTGACCTTGACCTCTCCCACCCTGCCCTCCTACACTAGGTGGCCTCCCGCCTCCTTCATTTTCCCTTTGAAGCCTTTATTAAGGAGCCATTAACATGGGGGGAGGGGGGGAGTTGCATTTGACCATGTTTAACTTTTAAAGTTTGTGCTTTATCTTAGAAATTTCCAAAAGAAACACTTCAACTCAAGCACCCTAGAATTATACCTCCCACTCTACGTTCCTAATCTGTGGGATCATATCACTATGCCCCCATGAGATCGTAAAGCCTTTAAGGCACAATCAATCAGCGTGTTCTTCACTGATTCATTTCTCCTCCCCACAAGCCAGGAAGCGTAGCCCTTTTGTTAAAACTGATCAAACTGTACACCTGACATGTGACCATTTCACTGTATGTAAATTATAACTCAATTTAAAAAATGAGTCCCTCACACCTTTGTCAAAACACAGGACATGCGCAACCATCCCACCAGAAGGTTCCCGGTGTGCCCTCCCTGTCAGGTGCGCCCTCCCTGTCAGGTGTGAGGCTTTCGTTTGTGTGTGGCCAAGAAGTTTTGATTTCTCTTTCCTAAAATGTTTCAGGTACACATCCGTGGGTAGGAGGAAGAAGCACAGTATGAGAAAAGAACACCAAACCCCAGAATCAGATCTCGGCACTACCTGTGTAAGTTTCACCACCTCAGAGTCTCGGATTCCCCACCCTCCTTCCCAGGGAGGGTTGAGCTAGGTGATTTCTCCAACTCGCCGAAAGCTCTGACATTCTGTTTCTGGGCTGGTATCTAACGAAAGAACACCACGCAAATGCCTACTGAAAAACCGCCACTTCAATTTTGCCGATGTAAATATCACCGAAGCGAGTTAATGAGAACTTTAACATTTTTTTTTTTTTTTTGAGATGGCTCTGTCGCCCAGGCTGGAGTGCAGTGGCCGGATCTCAGCTCACTGCAAGCTCCGCCTCCCGGGTTTACGCCATTCTCCTGCCTCAGCCTCCCAAGTAGCTGGGACTACAGGCGCCCGCCACGTCGCCCGGCTAGTTTTTTGTATTTTTTAGTAGAGACGGGGTTTCACCGTGTTAGCCAGGATGGTCTCGATCTCCTGACCTCGTGATCCACCCGTCTCAGCCTCCCAAAGTGCTGGGATTACAGGCTTGAGCCACCGCGCCCGGCCTAACATGTTTTTTTTAATGGTACTGACCTCAAAACAAATGGTAAATTTTCATTAAATCAAGTGAGATGCAATTAACATATCTGACCCGACTGTGTACCTATTTATACTCGACACTTTTTACCTAAACAGTTTTCTGGCAATACTAAATTACAAGTAAACTCTTGGTTAAAACAAACAAACAAGGGCATTAAGTTGAGTGGGTGGCATTTTTCCCCACTCTCTCACCTCACAGGACTCACATAAACCAGGACTCGGACCCACCTCCCGTGACTGCGTGCCGGGCACCTGCCCGCCACTCCTGATGCCATCATGCATTCTAGTGAGGCACGTTCGCTTTCTGACGTGCTCACAAATACGTCGGCGGAATACAGTTCCGTTCTCACCTTAACTGTATCTATACCTCTTTCCTCACTCTGAATGCTGAACTGGAAAGGACATTTTCAGGTTAACTCATTTTACTGTTTTCCTCAATGAGAAAAAAATAAAGTAAATACTGAGGATTTTATACCATACAACTACAGTAAGAAAGGTGAGCAAAACACACCACACAAACATCACCCACAGTCTACTTCTGGAAGGAAAAAGGTAACATACTTCATTTTCAGATTTCAAAATGTTTTCTTTATACTACAGGGTGGAAGAACATACACGCGTGTGCGTGCGTCTGTGGGTTTATTTATTTATTTATTTTTGTCTAACAATTCAAAAGAAAATTTCCTGAAGCTGGTGAGGCAAAAAGAAAAGTTTCTAACTAGTAAGTTTTAAATCATAAAAAAAAGGAGAAGAAAGAAAAAGAAGGGAAATTAACCACTACCTCAGAACAAAAATTTTAAAATGGTTTAATTGTAAAAACTTGGTGGCAGCTCAGAATTTGAATTTCGAGTTCTGTAAAGTCCTGCATAAACCGGCAAGGCAAACGTCACAATTTTGAAAATAGTGAAGTAAGGGAAATAAGGAAGTCCAAACCATAAACAATCCAAACACCTCCTCTTTATTAAATCTAACGTTTGGCAAAGAAACCAGCCTTTGCCTCAAACTATGAGGGTTGCGTGAAGCTTTTTAAGTCACACTCAAGTGTTTTGGAAAACATCCACCACTCCACCCAACTCTCTGTCCTGTGTCCACCCCGGGCCATGGGCAGCCACTCTGCCTTACCCGGCGCTGCCCACTGCCCACAACACCAACGCCTCCTCCCCAGCTCCACCAGCCCAGCTCACTGAACACGGGTCAGGCCTCCCACCCAGGGCAGACAATCCGCAGGCTAGCCAATATCCTCAAACCCAGGACCAGGGCAGGGGTGGGGGTGGGGAATGAACTAGATCAAGTTTCTCTCAAGGATGTGAACTATGAAATGTGACAGGAATTGGTCACTTAGAAACTGAAAGAATGCAACAAGAAATGCCACAGAGTTGAACCGGGGCCAAAGGGCTTTTGGACAGCTAAGCAAGTCCTCCAGCTGAAGCCACAAGGAAGGGAAACCAGGATAGAGCAAAGCAGCCAGCTGGTGGCGGGGGAGAAGGCTCCAGCACATGGAGCCAGGCACAGTCCCATGGGGCAAAATCCTAGACAAAAACTGTGGCTGAGGCCCCCAGAGCAGCGAGGAACCTCCCTCCACCACCAGGCTCTGGAGCTCAGCCCATCCCAGCTCGAATTCCCGGATTCCTGTGCGATTCCTATCACACTATACATGTTCCCACTCACAAAACTCCTTCCCAAGCTGGCTGGAGAGAGTCTTTGTCTCATACAACCAAAAGCCAAAACAGCGCAGATAACATGTAAATGGCAAACATGGTAAGTCAACAACGTAAAATACTCAACAGCCCTAGTTACACATATTTAAGAGTAACACAGAACTTCTTACCCACACACACAAACCAAAACCTCATACCTGAAAGGGAAGGCACACCAAGGAACCTTCACGGGGGATGGACGCAAATGTCCTGTCTTTTGACAAAGGTGTTAGGGATTCTTTTGTTAAAACTGATCAAACTGTACACCTGACATGTGACCATTTCACTGGATGTAAATTATACCTCAATTTAAAAAATGGGCCAGGTATGGTGGTTCACACCCATAATCCTAGCACTTTGGGAGGCCGAGGCAGGAGGATCACCTAAGGGCAGAAGTTCGAGACCAGCCTGGCCAACATGGAGAAACTCCATCTCTACTAAAAAAAAAAAAAAAAAAAATTAGGCCAGGTGCGGGGGCAGGCACCTGCAACCCCAACTGTTCGGGAGGCTGATGCAGGAGAATTGCTTGAACTCAGGAGGCGGAGCTTGCAGTGAGTCAAGATCATGTCATTGCACTCCAACCTGGGCGACAAGAGCAAACTCCGTCTCAAAAATAAAAATAAAAATAGGCCAGGAGAGGTGGCTCACGCTGGTAATCCCAGCACTCTGAGAGACTAAGGTGGGTGGATCACCTGAGGTCAGGAGTTTGAGACCAGCCTCACCAACAGGGAGAAACCCCATCTCTACTAAAAATACAAAAATTAGGTGGGCATGGTAGTGCAGGCCTGTAATCCCAGCTACTTGAGTGGCTGAGGCAGGAGAATGGCTTGAACCCAGGAAGCAGAGGTTGCAGTGAGCTGAGATCACGCCATCGCACTTCAGTCTGGGTGACAGAGCCAGACGCCGTCTCAAAAGAATAAATAAATAAAAATAAATTTTAAAACAAACCCTCTCATGTAAATTGTTCCTATAAGAGGACTTTTTGTTTTTCAAAACTATTGATCTAGATAAATCCCACAAACATACACTGAGCAGAAGCAGCCAGCTGCTAAAACACCTGTGTTTCTATTTATAGAAGGAACAGAAACAGGTAACAGTCCCCTGTGTGTTAGGAGTCAAAACAGTGGCTCACTTGAACCAGGGCGGACTTCTTCCTGGGTCGCCTACGTTCTGGTTCCTGACTTCCTGACCTTGGTGCCAGTATCCCAGGTGCGCTGAGTGTGACACACGTGTTTTCATCAGGTGTGTGCTCATGAAAGACACATTCTCCTGCCTGTATCATATTTTCTGGTATGTATATCTTAATAATAACACAAAAGAGAAAGGAAAAGAAGGAATACCCTACAGTAATCTAAAAATAACTGGAAAAGGTTTGCTTTGCATCTAGTAATATGCTTATTTTCAGTCAAATTCTTCAGGTAAATAACAAAGAAAATTAAGACTTTACCCCATGTGTGGAATTCTAACTGAACTCATGGATTTGATACTGGGGGAAAAACTCATTCAGCTGAGTCATTTGAATCAGGTGAGTAAAACTCCACCGCACAGTGCTCAGTTCTAACACTACCTAAAGTGAATTCACCCACAGGCAGAGCACTCTTCCACGTGAGCAGCAGAGACCACACTCCACATCCCTTTGCTGCTCTAACAAAGAAAAAAAAGAGCACAATCCCGAAGAAGTGCTTAGAATCCCACTTCGTGTGTTCAAAGGGAGAATTAACTTCAATTCATACATTACCCTGAGGTGCATTTTTTTAACGCGCAGATTTTTATCTTCAGAGGCTTACGTTTTAAAAACATTTTACACACTCTCGATACAGTTCATAAGCATAAAAACAGAATAAGTACAAGTGACGCCATGGAAACAAACAATAAATCTATAGATCATCAAATTCTAACACCGTATTTTATAAATAAGAAGCCAAAGAGTAAATTGAAATGTCAAGTACTTACAGCCATAATTAATTCAAAGGGGTATTTGTACACCCTCACTGGCGACTGGTATTTCTGCACCATGATTGAAATACAACAGCAATCCTCTCACACCTGCAAAACATAAATATATGTGATAAATAACCACAGAGCAGAAACAAATTATTAGTAAGTTTGCACTGACACATCATACCACATTCTAACGACAGAAAGAGACCACAATAGGTCATAATTCTATGCACATGAAAATGAAAAGATGATATTTAAATACACAAGGGCAGGGGGAGGTAATTAAATGATAAGAAAAAGCGAACAAAGTGCAATGAGGCAAACAGTACTGGTGTGAGAGGGGCTCCAATCCCCTCATCGACTTACTGGGATTCGGCATTCATTACATGACCTGACCTGAGTCCTTCCCAGCAATGAACTGTTATGATTCTATTATTCTAATAACCAACATAATTAGTGCTTGGATCATTTTCTCTTAAACAACTTCTACCAGAAGCCAAATAAAAATGACCTCGTGTTAAGATATTACCTCTGGGAAAACAGAAATAAAACTGGAAAAAAATACTACTGTATCTCAAATTATGGTATACTCCTCAAAAGCTAGCTTCAAAGGAAAGTGTCAATTCCTATTTTCTAACTGTGTACACTACAGCTTTGGCGACCTGTCTTCAAGTGGCAGAGATGCCAAGTACTCTGGCTAAAGAGGCTCCACTGAAATCTCTAGCCTCAAATAGCTACTATCTGTAAGGAATCGGTTAAATGTTCACACCTAATTCACAGTAGGGGAGCCATCCTTACGGGCACAATCATTCTCTAGCGTCAGCCTACATGGTTTGCTCTAAGAACACACTTGGACTTGCCAGTCCTCTGTCTCCTCTATTTAAAGTGAGAAAGAAAAATCGAATGAGCCTACCTGTCTTGTTGAGGATAATCATTAAGAATGGTATTTTCCGCTGAACATGGTGAGAGGATATTCAAACGTATAAAACTGAATATCCTCAGGGAGCCCAAAGTCTAGCTGTTAAAAAAAAAAAAGACAGATTACAAAGATATATTTTATTTCAGAAATTTCCAAGATTCCCTCTTTTTTTTTTTTTTTTTTTGAGACAGGGTCTCTCTCTCTGCTGCCCAAGAGTGGCACAATCTCCGCTCATTGCAGCCTCCACCTCCTGCGCTCAAGTGATCCTCCAGCCTCAGCCTCCCAAGTAGCTGGGACCACAGGAACGCACCACCATATACTTTCTTTTGTAGAGGGTTTCCCCATGTTGCCCAGGCTGGTCTCAAACTCCTGGTCTCAAGGGATCTGCCCACTTCAGCGTCCCAAAGTGCTACGATTATAGTCATGAGCCACCGTGCCCGGTATTAAATTCCTATATATAGCACTACGTTTAAACAGTTTTGGAACTTTCTCTGGTATGTCTGGCATACCTCTCAGAGGAGGAGGTCATGGTGGAAACCACCACCATCTGACAGTGTGAAAACGGCTAAGGAATAACTCTGGGTGACCACGAGTAAGCCATTTGCCTTCCCTAGGACTCAGTTTCATCTCTGTAAAATGAGGTTTTCGGGAAGATGATCTTGAAAGACTTCCACCTCTAAAATCATGAGAATCAGAGCCAAACTCCCAAGTTCTCCAAACTCGACTTGAAGCTTTCCTAATATTGATCTTGACTGCGGGACTGACAAATCCTGATGTGCTGGGACCACGTTCTTTTTACTTCTGCAAACCTTACAGTGTTGGTGCACAGTGGGAATCCAATCATCTTTTAAAAATTTTATTGGGAAAATTAATTTTAGGGTTATCTCCCAGATAAGAGGACAATCACCGGGTACAAACAAGAGTGGGGGGAGGAAGCAAAAAAGCGTAATGATCGTTTAAGAAACTATAACATCCATTCAGGATTCCACCGCCTGGTAGAACTGGCTACACTCACTTAAGAACCAGCTAATTCACGAGCTTGTGAACCACAGCCAGATCCCAGCTGCCGATGCTCTGGTCCAGATAAACGCCCTACGCGGGCATCCGGAGTGACAACGACCAAGTGGCATCCAGGACCCGGGCGGTTTCTATTGCATGACAATCGCTGTTTAAACAGGAGCCAATGGCCAGACCCACTGAATGCATCCCGAGCAGGCTCGAGGGGCGGCCAGCGCCCGGGGCCGCTTAGCAGGGGTCCCGCGCGGCTGCGGGGAGAGCGGGGCGGGCACTGGCTCCGGACCCGAAACTCCGCTCTCAGCAAAAAGCGGCTCCCGGGAGCTGGAAGCCTCGCGGGGTGGGGGCGGGGGCGAGGGGCGAGCAGGCGGGCGGGGGCACAGCCCGTTTCGGGCGCCGAGGGCAGCCGGGGCCGGGGAGGAACGGGCGCAGCGGGCGGGCGGCCGGGAGTTCCGCTGGGCCCGTCCGAGAGGCGCCGGACTCCACGGAGACCGGGACCAGGGCAGGGGCGCACTCGGACCCGCCGCGACGACGCGCCTACCTCTTGTCAGAAAGGCCGGGCCTGGGACGCGGGGTGGCGAGGGACGCTCATACCGGCGGCTCCGCTGGGCAGTCGCGGTTCCACTGCTCGGCGGCCGCAGCTCGACCGCCGGTTCCGGGGAGGGGGCCGGGGAGGCGGGAGGGGGAAGGGGCGCGGTGAGGGCACTTGTGGTTGTTACGGGTGACGGGGTGGGCGGGGCCGGGCGCCGGTAGGGGCGCGCGTGCGCTGCCGCGACCGAGGGAGCGGGGGCGGGAGCGGGTGACGGTTGCTAAGGAAGGGGAGCGGGGGGTGGTGACACCCTGGGTCCCAACTGCGCAGGCGCGAGCTCCAGACCCGCAGGCGTGGGAGGAGCTCGCAGAAGGCGCCGGCCCTGACGCACGGCCTGTTAGGCCCGAGGTCCTAGTGGACCGCCCAGTTTTGCGTCACGTGTTAGGGGGCGGGGCAGGGGTGGGACTTCGCGAGTAGCGGGCGGAGGCTGAGTGAGGCCCCTGGGGACTGCCAGCATGCCTGAGAGGGGTTCCGCCGAGCGGGAAAAGGGAAGTCGGCGGGAGGTTAGAGCCACCGAGGCCCTCCCGCCTGGCTGCTGCTCTGAGGCCTGCCTCTGGTCGGTCGCCCTGGCGGCTGCCCCCGTTCTTCCTTATTTCTTGTTGACTGTTCACGAGCACCAGCCTCCTCGCGCGCAGTGCCCCGACCACATTCTCGGCGACTAATGGGGAGGAGGCGGACGCCGGTGCTGCGCGGCCCAGGGCTCGGTAGGGCCCGGGTGGAGCCCAGCGGCATTCTTGTCAACACATCCAGACGGCTCTAGTGTCGGGCCGCGGGCTTGAAAATGAGACACGCGCCCAGGGTCTGCCCCTCGGAATCGAGGGGTCCTCGGTGGGGTTGCTAAGGAGCTCGCGAATTTCAGCAGGAGAGCACAGTCCAGCTCCAATTTTCAATCGGGTACACTGAGACATTTTGGGGTCCTTAAGGAGCTCATGACCAGAAAGGGACACCTCGTATGTCCACCCACACAGCAAAGCTGGTTTTATAACCAGCATGCAATTTCACCGTCAATGTCACTGTTGTTCCGTTCACATTAGTCACCCTGGGTGGCTGTACATTTCATGCTGCCATTGGACAGAACGTTTTTGGGCCTGTTTAGGAATTTCCATCAAAGCCAATTTACCAGACACACAAGCAAATCATTCATGGCCTCATCACCCCTTGTGTTCCACATCAAACCATCATCTTCCAGCTTGGTCACCCACATTATTCGCTACACTCAGTCTGACTGGCTTTTGCCTGTTTGTGGAAATCACATCCACCTTCAAAAGATGCTTTAAGGCTGGGCGCGGTGGCTCATGCCAGTAATCCCAGCACTTTAGGAGGCCAAGGCAGGTGGATCACCTGAGGTCAGGAGTTTGAGACCATCCTGGTCAACATGGTGAGACCTCGTCTCCACTAAAAATACAAAAAGTAGCTGGGAGTGGTGCCAGACGCCTGTAATCCCAGCTACTCAGGAGGCTGAGGCAGGAGAATTACTTGAACCTGGGAGGTGGAGGTTGCAGTGAGCCGAGATCACGCCACTGCACTCCAGCCTGGGCAACAGAGCAAGACTCTGTGTCAAAAAAAAAAAAAAATTTGACCTGACCTGATGAACTTCTAGATGTAACCACCAATTTACAGGAAGTACAGAATAGAGGAACATGCTAAATGACACCATGAAAAACAACTGGCAAAGTACAGACTGTGGGAAACAGTACAAGACAAATATATTCTTTATCAAATTCCAAAGGAAAAAAAGAGGGGAAGGGTCAATCTACAGATTAAAAGAGACTGGCAGGCCGGGCGCGGTGGCTCAAGCCTGTAATCCCAGCACTTTGGGAGGCTGAGACGGGCAGATCACGAGGTCAGGAGATCGAGACCATCCTGGCTGACACGGTGAAACGCCGTCTCTACTAAAAAAAATACAAAAAACTAGCCGGGCGAGGTGGCGGGCACCTGTAGTCCCAGCTACTCGGGAGGCTGAGGCAGGAGAATGGCATGAACCCGGGAGGCGGAGCTTGCAGTGAGCCAAGATCACGCCACTGCACTCCAGCCTGGGCGGCAGAGCGAGACTCTGTCTCAAAAAAAAAAAAAGAGACTGGCAAATTTGTTGAGCCATACATTCATTTATGATTTGCAAGCTTTTATATGTGTATTATACTTCAATTAAACATTTTGAAGAAAAAGCAGACTTGAGACATCAACCAATCACAAAAAACTTTATTTCCTTTTTTTTTTTTTTGAAACGGTCTCACTCTGTCCACCAGGCTTGAGGGCAGTGGTGCGATCTTGGCTCACTGAAACCTCCGCCTCCTGGGTTCAAGTTATTCTCCTGCCTCAGCCTCCCGAGTAGCTGGGATTACAGGCGAGTGCCCAGCTAATTTTTGTATTTTCAGTAGAGATGGGCTTCACCATGTTGGTCAAGCCGGTCTCAAACTCCTGACCTCGTGATCTGCCGGCCTCGGCCTCCCAAAGTGCTGGTACTACAGGTGTGAGCCACAGCGCCCAGCCCGCCAACCTCCTTCTTGTCTGGGGACTAAATTGCCTTTGTAGAACTAACTTTAGCCACAAGATTAGAAATTATGGTTTAGGAGTCATGCAGCTGGAGGCTACAAGATTCTGACCCTCCCTAAACTGCTCCTAAGATCAGTACTTGAGACATTTTGCAGATCCTGCACTTGATGGCTCAGCTGGTACCACCCAGATCAACAAACTGGCTCATCTGATCTTGTGACCCCCCACCCAGGAACTGACTCAGCACAAGACGACAGCTTTGACTCCCTATGATTTCATCACTGACCAATCAGCACTCCTGGCTCACTGGCTTCCCCCCACCCACCAAGTTGTCCTTAAAAACTCTGCTCCCTGAATGTTCGGGGAGACTGATTTGAGTAATAATAAAACGCCAGTCTCCTGCACAGCCAGCTCTGTGTGAATGACTCCTTCTCTATTGCAATTCCCCTGTCCTGATAAATCAGCTCTCTCTAGGCAGCAGGCAAGGTGAACCCCTTGAGTGGTTATACTATCATTCAGAGAAGGGGGTTAATTGCCAAGATGAGCAATCTTTGTTATAATAAATGCTTTTTCATGAATTTATTGAGGCAAACAGTGAAGGCACATACTGGTTTACAGTCTAATATTCCTGAACAAGAATCTCCTGGATCAAATAGTAAGTCATGCTGACCCAGAGGTCTTAGGTCTCAGTCCTGCTGGCTAAGCTGTGTGGATGCAGGTGGTCTTATTCCTCATCATCAGGACAGTAGGCCCTGAGATAGTCTGAACTCAAATCTCATGTTGAATTGTAATCCACAGTGTTGGAAGTCCAGCCTGGTGGGAGGCATTTGGATCATCAGGGCAGATCCCTCATGCATGGCTTGGGCCATCCCCTTGGCCATAAGTGAGCTCTCTCTGAGTTCCCATGAGATCTGCTCACTTAAAAATGGGTGGCACCTCCCCCCACTCTCTGGAACTTCCTCCCGCTTTTGCCATGTGACCTGCCTGTTCCCCCTTCTCTCCTTCCACCAAGAGTAAAAGCTCCCTAAGGCTTCACCAGAAGCTAAGCAGATGCCAGCACCATGCTTCCTGAACAGCCTGTGGAACCTCTTAAGCACTATTCGAACATATAATGATACTAAGAAATTATTGCTTTCTTGTTGCTGAGCACGGTGGCTCATGCCTGTAACGCTAGCACTTTGGGAGGACAAGGCAGGCGGATCCCCTGAGGTTGGGAGTTTGAGACCAACCTGATCAATATTGAGAAACCCCGTCTCTACTAAAAATACAAAATTAACCAGGCATGGTGGCACATGCCTGTAATCTCAGCTACTCGGGAGGCTGAGGCAGGAGAATTGCTTGAACCTGGGAGGCGGAGGTTGCGGTGAGCCAAGATCATGCCATTGCACTCCAGCCTGGGCAAACAAAAGGGAAACTCTGTCTCAAAAAGAAAGAAAAGAAAAGAAAAAGAAAAAAAGAAAAAAAAGAAATTATTGCTTTCTCTTAAGAATGCCAATTAAACCTTTTTTCTTTATAAATTACCCAGTCTGAAGTATTTATTTATAGCAGTTCAAGAATGGCCTAACGTGGGCCCCTTCTGTATTGCTACTTTGCCATCCACACAATGTGTCTTCCCTCTCCAGCCAGCAAGTTGGAGGAAAAGGTGAAGAAGAGCAAACCTGCTTCCCTGATGAACACTTCCTTGGAAATGATGTGCATGTACGAACAGGCGCGCACACATGTGTGCACACACATAAGCACATATACATACTTCCCATTGGCCAGAACTTAATCACATGGGTACACCGAAGAGCAAGGAAGGCTGGGAAATGTAGCCTGTGCCAAGTGACCACACACCCAGCTACAAACTGTGAGTTCTGTTGCTAAGAAAGAAGCAAAGGATGTATGGTATTGGTGGCAACTAACAGTCTCTCTCATCAAGGATATAATCAAACTATTAAAATGTAGCGGTAATGTATGTTTGAAAAATTTCAAAAGAAGGAAGGACAAAGAAAAAAGGAAGGAAGGGGAGGGGAGGGAAAGGGAGTGCAAGGCAGGGCAAAAATGAGAGAAAGGAAAAGAGAAAGAAAAAGAAAGAGAAAGGAAAGGGGAAGGAAAGAGAAGAAAGAAAGAAAAAGAAAGAGAAAGAAAGAAAGAGAGAGAGAAAGAAAGAAAAAGAAGGAAGGAGACAGAGAGAGAGAGAGAGAGACAGAGGTGCGAGGTACATGGCTTATGCCCGCAATCTTTGGGAAGCCAAGTTGGAAAGATTGCTTGAGCCCAGGAGTTCCAGATCAGCCTGGGCAACATAGCAAGACCACTATCTCTACAAACAATAATAAAAAAAAAAATTAGCCAGGCATGGTGGTACATGCCTGTAGTCCTTGTTACTCAGGAGGCTGAGGCAGGAGGATCACTTGAACCCAGGAGGTCGAGGCTGCAGTGAGCCCTGACTGCGCCACTGCACTCCAGTCTGAGAGACAGCCTGAGAGACACAGCAACACTGGAAAGAAAGAAAGGAAAGAAAGAAAGGAAGAAAGGAAGAAAGGAAGAAAGAGAAAGGAGGGAGGGAGGGAGGGAGGGAGAAGAAAGAGCATTTCAGAATAAAAGAAGTCTATATACAGTGTGATAAGTGCTAGAAATGAGAAATAGGGACAGTGCTATGGAGCCAGTTTCTGGGGA